TTTACAGTGCTTAGCATAGTACTGGCAGGTTGTATATGTTAAGCAACTGTTTATAAAACAGATGACTAAATGAGTGAATACTTTAATTTTCTTTTAATTATATTTAGTGTACATGAGTGAAGTATTTTTGCATTTCTCTTTAAAAAAGAGAATCTAATGAAAGATTTTTGCTAGAGTAAAAATATTTTTGCTGATTAAAGAACCTGTGGCTATTATAAATATAGATATTAGGTTGAAGTGTTAAAATACTAATAGCTCTTTCAGAGAATATTGATTTTGTTTTAAAATGCCTTTTTTGTGATAATTCTAAGCATTAAAACAAACAAATTAATGATAAAAATAAGTAAGCAAGCAAGGAAAAGAAGCTCTTCTAAAGCAATTTTTCACTCAGCAAAATTCCCTACAAATACAGGTAAAATTGTGCCTACGTATATTTCTTCCTATTGCTAACTAGCTCTCTACATTTGGCTTAAGCATTCACCCTTTAAGCCACATCTTGAGTGTGTCTAATTTTTACTATTGTGAATATGGCCTATGGTTATTGATTTCTAGTTTTATTCCATGTAGTCAGAGAACATATTCTGTATAGTTTTTTAAATGTGTTGCGATGTTTGTTTTTTAATGTGGCCCAGGTTATGGTATACTAAGATAAAAGCCAATTTTTTTCATAGTGTCTTGAAAAAAATGTTATATTCTGCTACTTTGGGATGGATCATCTTATATAGATGTCAATTAGTTTATTTTATTGTTTTACTCTGTATTAGTTTCCTGTGGCTGCTGTTAAAAATTAATACAAAGTTTGTAGTGTAAACTAAGAAGGAATGCATTCTTTCACAGTTCTGTGATATACATTTACCTGTATTTCTAGTATTTCTTTTCTTTTCCCCTTCCTGATGGCCTAAATTTCTTTTCCTCATTTTCTTTCTGTTTAAAGACCTTTCTTTAGTATTCTTCTGTCCTCCATAGTTTCAGATGAGAAATCTATTGTCATTCAAATTATTCTATATAATGAAGGGCTAATATGCAAATTGACCGAATGGTGGAACTACTGGCCACTATGATGCGCACTGACCATCAGAAGGCAGATGATCAACGCATGAGCTGCCCCCTGGTGGTCAGTGTGCTCCCACAGGGGAAGTGCCACTCAGCCAGAAGCCAGGCTCAAGCTGGCAAGCACAGCAGCCTTGGCGGGAGCCTCTCTCACCTAGTGCTAAGGACATCCCCCAAGGGGTCCTGGACTTTGAGAGGGTGCAGGCCAAGCTGAGGGATCTGCACTTCCTCCCCCTCTCCCCCTCAGTGCACGAATTTCATGTACTAGTAAGTAATATACCATTTCTCTCTGGCTGCCTTGGAAATATTTTCTTTGAATTTAGATTTTAGAAGTTTAATTATTTTGTGGCTTGAAGTGAATTTCTTTGAGTTTACCCTATTTGAGGTTCATATAGCTTATTGAATCTATGTGTTTATATCTTTCATCAAATGTGAGCCACTTGCAGCCATTATTTCTTCAAATGCTTTTTCAACCCTATTCTTTCTTCTTTCCTTCTGAGACTCCTATGATATAAATGGTAGTTCTTTTTGTTATTGTCCTGCAGTTTATTGTCTGTCCATTCAGATCGAGTAAATTGTATTGAACTATCCTCAAATTCACTGTGTCATCTCTATTTTTGAGACTACCCAGTAAGTTTTCTATTGTAGTTGTATTTTTCAGTTTTATAACTTCAATTCGGTTATTTTGATATCTTCTATTACTTTCTGATTTTCTCATTTTTTATTATTATCAAAAGAATGTATAACTGCTTGTCAAATCATTTTATGATAGCTTCTTTAAAATTCTTGACACATAATTTCAATATTAGATTCATTTCAGTATTGGCATCAATTGATTGCCTTTTCTTATTGAAAATATGATTTTCCTGAGTCTTTTTTATGGAGTTTGGTTTTCTATTATATCCTGGACAGTTTGGCTATCTTATCTAATAAAATTGTAGAAGATAAATAAAATCCCAGATACCAGGGCCTCCACTTGAGTTGCCCTGGGGTGGTGTGGCCAGCTTGCAAACAACCACAGCCCCTTGCCCAGGCTGCCCCACACCCCAAGGGAACCCCACCCTGATTTGTGATACCCTTCAGGGCCCAGCTGACCCCCACCCATGCACCAGGCCTCTATCCTATCTATTAAAAGAGTAATATGCAGATTGACCATCAATCCAACACACAAGATGGCTTCCCCCATGTGGTCAAAGGTCCTGCCCCTATGTGGACACAAGATGGCCACCACAAGATGGCCAGCAGGGGAGGACATGGGATGGACCAGGCCTGCAAGGGAGGGCAGTTGGGGGTAATCAAGCCTGCAGGGAAGGGAAGTTGGGTGTGACCGGGCCTGTAGGGAAGGACAGTTGGAGGGGACCCAGGGCTGCAGTGGAGGGCAGTAAGGAGGGGCCCAGGCCTGCAGGGGAGAGCAGTTGGGGGAAACCAGGCTTACAGGGGAGGGGAGTAAGGAGGGAACCAGGCCTGCAGGGGAGAGCAGTTGGGGGAGACCAGTCCTGCAGGGGAGGGCATTTAGGGGCAAACAGGCTGATAGGGGAGCAGTTAGGCATCAATCAAGGTGGCAGGAAATGATTAGGGGGTGATCAGACTGGCAGGCAGAAGTAGTTAGGGGCAATCAGGAAGGCAGGCAGGCAAGCAGTTGGGAGCCAGCAATCCTGGATTGTCAGAGGGATGTTCTACTGCCCGTTTAGGCCTGATCCCACTGGGAAATCAGACATCCCTCTAGGAGTCCCAGATTGGAGAGGGTGCAGGCTGGGCTGAGGGACAACTCCCCCCATGCACAAATTTCATGCACTGGGATCTCTATGTTATAAGACACTAAATCCTATTTAAATTTTTTTATTTTAACTGACAACCACACTGTTTAGGTTTGGCATGCAGGGCCTGTCCTACTTTTGTAGGCTGTAGTTGCAATGACAGTGTAATTTTCAGAGCGTATTTGGTGCTGTTTTCACCTGCTAGGTTTATTTCATGTTTGGGGCTCCCACTGGTCCTAGTTAATGCTGTTTCAGGTGGCAGATCAAGCTCCCTGAGTTAACACTTATTTATTACATATAGCAAATGCCATCTAATATTATTTATGCATGTACTAATTCCATACTAAATAACAAAAAAGCAGAAAGGACCATTTGTAATGGGGAATGTGGAGGTTGATACATAGGAAGAAAAGAGAAGGAAAAGAAAAAGGGAGAACTAAAGAAGAAAACCAGTGATGAGAGACTTAATGAAGCAGGAAAGCTAAAAAAAATGTAAGTCTAAAGAACAAAGGGGAGAAGGAAGGAAAAAGAAAGATGAAGAAGAAAGTGATCAGAAGAAAATAGGAGAAAGAAAGGGGCAACAGACACCAGTAGAAGTCTAAATTCTTTTAACATCAGAGGTTTGCTTTTACCTTAATTCTTAATAAAATATTAATATACAAATATTTTACTATAAAGTTTTATATGATGTATATCTTTCTTATCATGTCTTTAATATTCCAACAATGGAAATTTATATTTAATTAATAGCACCTCCTCCATTCAAAAGCAAATCAGGCATTATAAAACAATCTGGAAATACTTTTCAGAACAATTATTTTCTTTTTATTCAGACCATAGTGTGCAGTCTTTTGAAAATTTGCCTTGAATTGAAAGTGTCCTGTTTATACTATTCTCAGTACTGTATAGATTTGGCTCTCTCCTCACCCCCATATTCTTTAAAAACAGAACTTTATTTCATCTTCTTATGGTTATCATTCAGAGCTGTACTAGTAAATAGAGAACAATAAATACATCAATTAATAAACGAGAGTATTTTGTATAAAACAATGAAACACCAAACACTAGAAGAAACTGTGTAAGACAAAGTGAACATTTTATCCCATAGAAATTATAACATCAAGCAAGAATTCAATTTTATTTCTTTATGTAGATTAAGTCTTGGTGATTGGTACAGAGGGAACAAAGTAAATCACAGTTGCAGACTTTGAAATCCAGATCTCTATAGTTTTACCCCATATCTTCTTTGCCTCTTGTTTCATCAACTAGCCTAAGTACTTTATGCTATGAATAATAAAGAAAAATAAACGTATTGAGTATATTCATGGTAGTGGAAAATGACGTGGGTGTAATTGACATACACACTTGGTTGGTCAACTTAGGCTACTCTTTCCATGTAAATGCAACCACCTTCCTGTCCAGGTGTTCTGAGATACTTTAATTTAACTCCAGCAGCCATATGTAGATAGCCAGATTGTAAGTCCATTTTCCTTTTCTAGGGTGCTTATTTCCTCTAAGTGGGCACCAAGCTAAGATGGCATAAGCCTGTGTTCACTAAGTTTTCCATTAAAAATCAACTCCCCAAATTCATCAAAAAGCACAAGAAGAAGGGGTAAATTTAAATGATAGATTTTCAGATACTTTATATTAAATTAATTTTTTTGTTGTATCTAGTTTAAATTTTTATTTTTAAGACTAAGTGAATTGTCCATTAATATAGTCAATGCAAAGACTACTATATATTCAAAGAAATGTAGCTGGAAGAAACATGACATACATAAGGCCAAACAATTATTTTGATTCATTTTAATCTCCTGGACTTATTCTCCAGTGTTATTTTAATAACAATTAAATTTAGTTATTCTGGTATTATTAAGAAGATTGAAATGTTTTGAACTGGTTTCATGAACCAGTTTCATTATGTACCTGGGTTTAATTTCATTTTGAATGACAATATTTTCCTATTTCATTTCTCATTGACCTCAGATTTCATTTTATCATTGTCTTTAGAAAGTGGCCAAGTAGAAGACAATAACAAATGTTTGGATTCAGAACCATAAATTTTACACTGGATGTAAATATTATATAAATTTGCTTGAATGAGTGCAGGAAGTCAGTATGGCTAATAATTGCATTTTCTTGTGAATCTGTTATGTGAAAAACACTGATTAAAATCCCATGTTAATTTTGCAGGTGATGGAAGTCAAAGGACAAATGATTCACGTCCCAGAATCAAATTCCATTTTATTTTTGGGCTCTCCATGTGTGGACAAGCTGGATGAACTTATGGGCCGGGGACTGCATCTCTCAGATATCCCCATCCATGATGCCACCCGAGATGTCATTTTGGTTGGTGAGCAGGCTAAGGCCCAAGATGGCTTGAAGAAGAGGATGGATAAGTTAAAGGCGACTTTGGAAAGAACTCACCAGGCCCTGGAAGAGGAGAAAAAGAAAACAGTGGATCTTCTATACTCTATTTTTCCCGGTGATGTAGCCCAGCAACTGTGGCAAGGGCAGCAAGTGCAGGCCAGAAAGTTTGATGACGTCACCATGCTCTTTTCGGACATTGTTGGCTTCACGGCCGTCTGCGCTCAGTGCACCCCCATGCAAGTGATCAGCATGCTGAACGAGCTCTACACCAGATTCGATCACCAGTGTGGATTCTTGGATATTTATAAGGTAAAGTGGTTTAATTATTTATATATAAATACTTTTTAATAAGAAATTGTGATCTTAATTCAATTGAAAGGATACACACTGAGTGGCCAGAATATTATGTGTTCAGAGATCATAATAATCTGTCGTTCAGTGAATATCTTATGTAATAAAAGGCTAATATGCAAATTGTCCCCTCGACCAGGAGTTCGACCAGCAGGCAGACTGGTCAACCGCCCATGTCCCCTTCCCCTGGCCAAGCTGGCTGGATCCCATCCATGCACAAATTCATGCACTGGGACTTATATATATATATATATATACATATATATATATATATATATATATATATATATATATACTGAGTGGCCAGATTATCATGTGTTCAGAGATCATAATAATCTCACCACTCAGTGTACTTTTCTTTATTTTTGTACTTAAACTTGATAATAAATTATTGATATTTCTGATTAAGATATCTGTGTACAGGATACAGGTATTTTTGCTCTATTATTAAACTTCTATTATGAGTCAATTTGCAGTATTGATATACTACAGATAACTGAATCATGGTATTGCTCAGTAAGGAAAAATTCTGTAGAGCTAATCCTTTATATTCACTATTTAAAAAATTAAACTTGCTGAATACTAGACAAAGGTTTAACTACATAATGTCTTTCTTGAAGAATGAGATTCCAACGTAAAGTAAGAACTTTATGTTGACAGTTAAAAAGAAGCAATAAGCTATGCTAAAATATACATTGCATTATCAGTTAAATCATGGTTAATCAATATGATGCATTGCATTGTCAATTAAGTGAGGTCCCTCTAATTCTGAAAGAACACATGTAAATATTTTAGCTATTGCCCAAATGACCAATGGCTTTTAGTGGAAGAGAAGAAAAATAGTGGAAGAACTATGAAAATGAGTACTAATCACCATTGGGGTATCTGCTTGGATGAGCTGCTTATTATTATTATAATCATAGCAATATTTTTTGAGATTCGGCCCCGTTTCTACCTAATATTATTTTGGTATGGGATAAAACAAAGCATGGCTTTATTATGTGAGACAGAAAGTAAGTTTAGTATAAACAAAGAGCAGTAAACTATATTTTCATCTTTACTAATTCATCTAGATAGCTATTTTTTATAGTAAGTTCTGCAAATAAGCATATTTGGGGGAAAAAATCTGTTTGCATTGCTTTCATTAAAGCATATCTCCTTGAGCAAAAGGTGTTCTCTAGCCATTATCCTATATAATGATAGGGCAATATGCAAATTGTCCCTCTTGACTGGGAGTTCGACCAGAGTTCAACAAGGTGTTGGGAGCAGCCCACCAACCACTCAGGGATCCTCCCCTCAACCAGCCTGGCCCCATGGGCCCCAATCAGGAAAGGCCGGTCAGACCCCATCTGACGAATTCATGCACCGGGCCTCTAGTGTATAATATATAGCCAATCTAACTCTTTTAGTGAGTCCAGCAGGGGCTGAAATCCAGGCTCAGTTAGGAGACACAAGACCTTGGGACTGGGCACAGGGGACTGGGAATGGAAACCAGGCAGTGTGTCCTGGGAGAGTAAGAAGATAGCATCAGGACACACTGTGACCTCAAATCAGAAGCTTTTCCTGGCCAGAAGCAGATGTAGAGTCAGAGAGGACCCCCTCTCTAGAGTCAAAGGGGAACCAACTTCGGCAACGTCATCAAAAGACAGAGATGTCCTTTGAGACCTAAATGCCTAAACAGGATCTAGACCCACAGATATGCTAGTTATCAGGTTATTTCTATCCATTCTTGAAAATGGACAAAATATATTGGGGGCACTCGTGGCATTAATACAATCTGGAAATTGCTAGATACTTCGAGCTCTGAAAATCTTCACAGACCAATGGAAATCCTCTATTGATTTTATCAGAGCCAAACCTCCAGATACAATAGCAATTAAAAGGACTCGTAAAGCCATTAAGATCATGTATGTTTCATTTAATTGACATGTGCAGATTGTTCTGCTTTAGTCTCGCTTTAGTCTATTAACTATAGATTCCTATTAACTGTAAGTCCTTGGCTACTTTGTGTGTGTGTGTGTGGGGGGGGAAATGTCTGTGCATCCTGAAAACAAACACAGACTGCAAAAGTAAACAGGATAGATACCCATGACAGAAAGGATTATGAAGAAGGTGATCAGTCTTCACTTTTTCCGTGGGCATGTTCTTACTATCCCAGGGAAGCGGAGAGCCAGGCCAGCCCTTGGGATTCATATGTCTTGGTGCCGATCCCCGAGGCTGCACCGATGCGCTAGCAGTTTGTAAATTGGACAAGAAGCTATGTCAGGTTTGAATCCCCCTTAAATCTCCTGGTCAAGGCTGAAAGCAGGCGTTGCTCACATCAAGTCACAAGGCTGCGGAGCTCTGCCTCAAGAATTTTGATGTGTCTGTCCATTTGACAGTCTGGAGCTCCTGCAGCTCCCTGCACCCTCAGCCAGGCTTCAGAAAAGCAGAATCTCAGGGATATCGCTCCAGTGTGACCTGGATTTTGCAGGGGGGCGGAGAAGGAGGGGATGAAATGCGTTCTTTCCCCCTTATTTTGTTTTATGATAAAAAAGTCTTTTAACTACTTAGGTACTGAGGCTATTCTTGGCATTTTATAAATATGCATACAACAGTTTTCAGCACTAAATGCCAGGTCCATTTAGTAAAGGGTGAATGTTTCATTCTCCATTCCCCTCCCCAAGATTTGCATCTCTTCTGCTTTTGAAGTGAAAAGCTACTAAAGATTTGTATTCATTCCTCTTAGTGGATTCCACCAACATCAATGCTATTTACTTTTGCTGCTCTTTTATTGGAAATGAAGTAATGGTATCTTCCTAGTAAGTCTAGAAAAGAGGAATTTCTGAAGTAAAGAAACAACACACCGTTCTATTCATTTGTTCACTCAATCAGTAAACATTTTTGAGTCACTCACCTAATAACAGGGCCTGAGTCCCATGGAAGCCTATACAATGCTATGGAAATTAGTATGTATTTTTAGCACACTTTTAATGAGCAGAAAAGAACTCATTTATATGCTTCAGAAGGTAGGGTGAAAATCACAGATAAGCATTTTGTTCTGATATCTTTTCTACTGGTGGGATTATATTGTCAAATTTCAGAATGCCCTAAAAATTACCTGACAAAGGTTTTGCTTCATTTATATGCTTGTCTTTGGCACACACTTAGGTTGGAGATAAGCGGTAAGTAAGGGGAAGGCTGGATCCCTTATCCCGTTGCTCTAAATCTGTTCAGCTAGAGCTGCTCTGAATCCCAGTGCTGGCTTCAGTACACGGCCTGGAGTTTTCATCTTCCCACCTTTAACCACAGATTTTACCTCTCTGCCTCAGTTTTGCCATTTGTAAACAGACTAATTTTATCTACCGCATAGTTATAGTTTTTGAGCTTTTAAGTGAAATTTATGTAAAATACTTATTACGATATTATATCCCTTGCAGTAAATGTAAATATGTTAGCTATCATTCTTCAAATGGGCGTTTCTGAGTATGTGTGGTGAGTGTGTTTCGTATGCATATGCTTGGTGTGCATACGAAAAAGATTGTGTAGCTCCTGATTTTTACATAAAGATAAAATTCTATTTGCTTGAGTTAGTCCTTTCAGGTTATTAGAACTACATTGTATGCCAGAGGAAGACTTAAGAAAGGGTAGAGAGAGAGGTAAGAGTAAGGGGAGAGACATAGGTCCTTGAAATACAGTATTTGTATGATCTTTACTGGGTCCTCATGGGTCTTATTTCTTGAAGATGGGTCCACAGTTCATCTGTGTGACTTAGTTTTATCTAAATAACTTGAGCCCCAATATGAAATTCATGAACACAAAGTGTTGCTTTAAATCACATCAACTCATGCTATATCTTGATCAACACTACGAAAATGTTTATCTTTTTATATTCTAATATGATATCCAGGATTATTATTGTTTTCTATATTCAAGGAACATTTCTTTTTATTCTTGTGGCAAATTCTGAAACAGCTAAAAGGCTAAGATAATTTGGATTACCAAGCAGAAATCAAAACTGATAAAAAGTGTCTTGCTGAATTTATCAAAGTGTTATGGGTTGTTGTTTATATCCCTGTTGATTTTTAATTTCCTAAAGAGTTGACAGTTGCTAAGACATTAATGTTTTTTATTTGTATAATACCAAGCGTTATGGACTGAATGTGTGTGTCTTGGACACATTTAATTATTGAAGCTCATCTCTCAGTGTGATGGTGTTTGGAGGTGGAGCCTTTGGAGGGTAAATAGATTCAGGCGAGATTATAAGGAAGGGAGCACCATGATGCATCCGTGTACTTATAAGAAAAGTGAGAGATCAAAATTCTCCCTGCCATGTGGACACAGGTGGCCATCTGCAAGGAGCCCTCACCAGCGAATGGAACCAATCTGGCCTGTACCTTGAACTAGGATTTCCCAGCGTCAGAATGAAATTTCTGTTTTTAAGCCACCCGGTCTATAGTGTTTTGTTATATCATCCTGCATGCAATCAGACACCAGGGAAATGTGTATCAGTTCTGAGAACTTATGATGCACGTCTCCAGCAAGTTTTCTTAGTGTATGAGGTCTATGCTGCTTGAATTTCCGATGTCTAGGAGGGTGAATATTACACAATGATGCCTTCTGCAGTTTATGTCATTACAGAATGTCTAACTTTTGTGGGTCCATAAACTGTAAGGACATTCTGAGCTAAGCTGTTTGTCAGTAACACCTTTTCCAGAATAGAATGACAAACTAGCTTTTATTTGTGTTCCTTTTGCGAGTTTTACCACATAGTTAATTGCTTCAATATGTTTATCTTAAAAATCCACTTAAAATTCCAACTTTTCTTCATAAAGAATTATTGTCATTAAGTAACAATTTATTTTACCCTGAGGTCTTTTAGCAGAGGATTTCTGGCATGCCACAGAATGGAAATATGTCAGTTCTGTTCCCATCAGAGTTTATCATGCCTGGCTATTGTGTAGTTTACGAAAACAGAA